GATTTTGACTCTCTTCTGATCGTATGCAATTTAGATAAATGCAACGACACAACTGTCATTACGAAAGTGAAAGACCTATTTGGTTATAGAGAGAATGCAACGCCACTCGCCATCTTAACTACACCTGAATCCACCAAACCGCTTCTACACACTAACATACAAGTAAAACACGCAGAGGCGATGAAAAATGACATTAATTTCTTGGTACTCCAAGTCTCTTTACTTTTGTCTGTAAGGAATTTTTAATATTTACAAGGCTCTTGTACAATTAATAAACCGTGAAACGTGCAGTGATACCAGTTCTGATTCCAGAGATAGAAATTCTATTATCCCGCTAAAAGACATAGGATTTACAGAAATCCTGAGAAATGTCAACTATATCTTTCCAAGGTTGAAGATGTGAATATGGGTTTCTGTATAGACATGAATACCACACCCATATCCATCCGTAATCTCTAATCCGTATTCCATTTGACTAATACGTATAGCTCTTTCGTCAAACTTCAATTAATGAATATTCTTGGTCATCTGGTAAGGAACCATAAGTAAAAACCAGTGATGAAATAGTTAAATGTGTTTTATCTTGTCCTACTCTATTTTAATGAAAAATCTAAGAGTTTGTTAGAAAATATTTTTGGCAGTTAAATTTTGATGCAGATAACTGTGTAAAACCACATGTGCAGCCGTTTGTTTTTTTGCTTTAATTACTTTTGCTTCCAATCATATGCTTGTCTTTCGCTATCCTCCCAACATTTTAATCATATTTGACAGGGCTTACCATAATGAAAAAATGATGACTGATGCCGACAAAATATAATTCGTATCCCACAACTTAAGGGAAAAAATTTACTGTAACATTCGTTAACTGAGTGCAAATTAAGTCCTTCAGCATACTAATACTAATTTGGTTTTTCTAGTTGAAAACGATATAGCGTATCATGGAAAAGTATGTAAGCTAAATAAATGTAAGGCATAACTGTTACTCAATTATTCATTGTATGTGACATACAACTTCTTTGTAGTATAATGTATTTTATCTCATCACATTTTACTCGTCTATGTGTACGAGGGTGTGGATGTGGGTGTGGGTGTGGATGTGGGTGTAGGTGTGGGCGTGGGTGTGGGTGTGGATGTGGATGTGGGTGTGGTTCTTCTCTTTGCTAGTGCGTACACACATCCACACCCTACCCCACACCCCACACCACACCCCGCACACCCACACACCCACACCCTCATCTCTATAACAGCCGCACCCACACACACCCGCAACTTACTTTACTTCAATTTTTTTCTTCATTCATCTTTGCTCATAGTCGACGAATTTCATATCGGAGCAACAAAAGAAGATAATTTACGTTTTACTTCTCTTTTTGCTATTTAGCTGTTATAATGGTCTTCTAATATTTTTTTGAGGTGGTAAAATCAAATATTACAGTTTAATTGCGTTTTGCGCTTGAGCATTGATTTGAGTGCTATTGTATTCTCAACCGTTTTGGCACCTTAAGGTTAGATTGTTGCGATTGATAACCATCACAAACCAATATAAATATCATTTCAGGAGCGTTTTGCATGGTTCATGAGCGTCATGAACCCTTTTGGATATCTTTTAATAAATTAACGATTATCATTAGATTGGACCTACGTGTGTATTGATATCTTTTGGAAATTTTCTCACAAACCCTTTTTTAGCAGCGAAAAAAAATAGTACTGTATGAAATTTGCAGAAGGTTTTAGTTTCGTTCCTTCGAAACCTTTTTTAAATCCCGTATGGTGTCCTTTTTTTCAGTATACTGTATTATTAAAAAATCAAAGTATTTTATTCAATCGTAATGCACATATTTGCCTCTAACGAGTCTTGGTAAAGAAAAGAAAAAGAAAAGAAAAGCAACATATAAAAGTTGCTTTACTCTTCTGAGGAAGCAGTCCGCAACATTAACATAAAGAAGTAAATCGTCTTCTTCAAATGGTGCTATAATTTTTCTACGTAGCTTTCAAGTGCATCGTTCTCTTAGGTGAGTGTATTGAAGAGTCGATTCAATTTTATTATATGAACAATTATATCAGTGAACGAGACATATGCTTCTTTTCTTTGGCTTTGCAACAACTAGTAACAGACCTTCAATGTTATTCATGCATGGCATGTGATACTGTCAGTAATTCCACGTTGACATCAAACTCGGCAAGCAATACTGCTTGTTATGTGAGTCATGCTGTTGTTTTGATGAATCTTTCAATGAAAGAAAGTTTCTATTCTCTACTTCTAGAAAGTGATCCATTGCGCATTCGACGCTTCAGCGACAGAACGTGGCGGCATTCTGAGTTGTTCACCTGGTTCCACTACTTATCTCGGCTACAGTGCCACACAATACTGTTGTTTGACTAACCTTTGTAATGAAGGTATTGTTGTTTCGGGTTCGCTTGGTTTGGCATTTGCTATCATCGTCATCGCCACTGTTCTTCGAGTAATTATAACGAGCTGAATACAACATATTTATGAACAACAATAAACACAAAACTTCTTAACCTAGTTTGTGTTTCTTTTTCATACATTCTCAAATAAATTCCTCTCCTATCTATCTAATTTAATTACTTCTATTTATGACTCAAAACTGTGCAGTAAGAGAAAATTGATGAAAAAAATGCACTTTGTTGACCTTTTGAAAGACAACTTTTTTGAAGAAGAAAGCAAGTATGTAGATGATAATGGCAAGAAACTTGCATTGTTCAGCAATAAAATCCATTTTTAAGTTTTTTCAAAGTAGAAGGCGCACACAGGATGCATTAAGAAGAACCCAAATAAGCCCTTATCTGCTTGGTTATGAATATTCTTCGAAGGAAGCATAACCACCTTCAAATTTCTTAATCAAAGTTTTATTCAACTACAATTCCAATCTAAATCGTGTACTATTGATTTCAACATGATTCTTTGAAAAACAAATTTATTTCTTTTTTATTTATCTTTAAAAAGAATAGCAATTATTTATTTGACTCTGTAGTAAATGTTCTAAAATTAAAATCATTTGTTGAACATTGAATTCGATAAAAACACGGATGAATTTGTTGAATTGTTTCAATAGTTGTTATTTTATCATTGGATACATCATCAATATTACAATCAAATCGATTTAAATATCGTAAACGATTTAATAAACTTTGAAGAAAACGAATAAGTGGAACTTTACATAAAAAATTTAATTGAATTCTTCGTACATTTGGAATAAATGCTAGAAGAGTATAAATATGATTAAATGATAATTTATGATACGGATCGGAGAACACAAAATGTTTTAATGGATGATTACTAATCGATGGTGAATTATGAAATATTGGAATAGTATCCATTAAAAAAACAACATGAAGATAAACAAGATTCGGAGATGAAATAAGAATAAATGGAACAATAGTTGGATTTATGCTATGTATAGATACAGAATGAAGTGAAGGTGATTGAGACCACATACGTAAATATGGTACATGAACATGACCAAGATCAACATATCGAATAGTAGGCATATCATTAGAAAATATACGTTGAGCTAATTGAGGCATTAGAGAAAATTCCGGTATTGATGAAGTAGAAAGATAAACAAGATAAGGCATAAATTCTGATCGAATTTGTCGTAATTGATTTCCTGTTATCTGATGTAAAATAAGTGATTGTAAGCAAGGAAATTGACTAAGATCTATATCTTGCCATGTATTAACAATTAATCGATTAATTTGATTAGCAAATAATGATATCAATGCTGATTCACATTGTTCAAGATTAAGTGAAAGATTTCGAAGAGATTGAAGAAGATGATTTATTCGTTTATTTAATCCCCAAAAACCATAGAATAAATCTCGAATATCAATATATTCGAAAAGTTCAAATAATAATTCATTTGGAAGATGTTCAAATTTTGTATAATTGACGCTGATCATCTAAAATTAATAGATTAATATTTTTGTTTTTGTTTCGAAATACTTATTTAACAAAAATAAAAATAAAAATAGAACAATATTTTCATGAATCACAATATGCTAAAGATAATCGTTTTGCAACATGATAACATAATAGTCAACACTTGATATACTTTAACTAATCGTTGTTGTCTGGATAAAAATTTTCAATCAAATTTTATAGTTGTTTTTCTTTTGGAAGCCTTGCCTTTATTGCTTTGGTATTTGACTGCTTAGCCTAGCCTTGACGATGTCTGAATGTAGAATATGTGTGGGTGAATGATTCTTCGCTACAATCACATCTAGTTTGAAATTGTGCATGGGGAAATCAATCAATTATTTTGGGCCACATTCGAATGAATGATTTTATTGTTTCAGTTAATATTCTAGTGTATCAATCTGTCCTACGATGAAATTGTCTATGCAGAAATGTTCGAAATTCCTACCATTATGATCAGATATTAAACAATAAGGTAAAAATGCGGAACTTACAAATCCTGATCATTATAAATTTATAGTATATTGTCCGAGATACATCCTGAATATATAAGTTCTTTTCTTCTAATGATAATATATACAATATATATGCCTTAGGATATGACAAATACCATTTTATTTTTCGTTTAGTCAGTTTAATTAACATATTAGCCTGTTATATGAATCATTCTATCTCTCGGTGAACTTCAACATTTAGTATTGAGTTTTTCCCTCAATCTAAAATTCCATTAGTTCATATTTTTCTATGTCCGTTCTATTCTGACTTTGCTAGATTAATAATACTAGCGCTCTACTATAATAAGAACCTTTATACTCACTATATTGTCTTTGAAAATATTTGAGTTTCGTCAAAGTAACAATAAATTGAGATTAATGATTATCAACAATATAATTATATGATATTTAATCCAACTATAATACAATTTATTATCGATTTATCTAAAAGTAGAAAACAACAAATATAAATATGCTAGATTAAAATCGTTTATTAATTATAGACTATAAAATAATCAAAACATATAACAAATTCTATTATATTTCCTAGAAAAGAAAATTTTTTATCAATCTGATGGGAATGAATGTAATAATTTAAGAATAAGTCGAGATTGATATTTTTTATTATGTATTTGTTTAAAATTAGCTTCAATACGATTAATTATATTATCATTATTCTGTTTAATTCCATATGCATGAAGATAATATTTAAATTGACGAAGTAATGGTAATTGTTTATCAATTAATGAAGCAAACCAATTATAATCTAGATATTCTTTTATATTTACATCAAAATTTATTTCATGAACAATAAATTGTTCTAAATTTGGTACACATGATAAATAATGACTCATAGCACAATCTGATATTGATTTAATTAGACTTTGAAATTTAATAATTATTTTTTTAAGATTTAAATGTGGTTCAATATAATGTAATTCTTCATGTTGATTTAACATTGTAAATTGAAATAAATATAAATTAGGACATAATATTAATATATGTCTATATGCTAATAGATCAATATTATCCATTTTTAAAATACATAATTGTGTTGTTTGTGTAAGATTTGGTATTATTTCAAGTACTCGTGGTTCGAAAAGAGAACAAGATTTTAAACAAGGAAAATCATTTGAAAAGATTTTTTTACATAAATCAGGAATATAATAAGAAAAAAGAAAATGTTCATATCCAACTGAAAGATGTTCTAAATAAGATAAATTATTAAATACAATTTGTTTTAATTGATTTGATGTTGGAGATAATAAAATAAGACGATGAAGATTTACAAATTGATTTAAATCAATATCAACTGCATAATCTATTACTAGTGTATATATGTAAGGAGCAAATATATTATAATCATGAATTTCATTAGAATTATATTTTAACATAGTAAGTGAAAGATATTTGAGTGATTGAAGAAGTCTATTAAAACGAAAATTAAGATTATAAAATGTTTGAAATAAATCTCGAGCATCGAAATATTGAAATATATGAATAAGAATTTCATTTGGTAAGATTTCCAATTGAGAAGGTATGTCATCCATATTTTCAATAAAATAATCTACAAAATAAAAACATTGATATAAAATTCAAATTCAATCATATTGAAAAATACATTCATTCAAATATTATTCTTTAATCAAAACAATGAACATTAAAAAAAAAAAACATAGATTGATACTAATAATTTTTTTTGCTCCGAATCGATCTGGATTCGACTATTTCGTTTAACATTCAGATCATCACTGAACTAATGAAACGTTAGACTCTTTCACTTGTGTATAATAATATTTGGTATATCCAACTTTCAACAAAGTTTTATGATAAAACTTCCGTTCTACTAACAGATCGGTCAATACTTGACCCCATTTTTCACCTTTGTAATCTTATCTCTGTTTTGAAACTACAGCAGTTTCTAATTCATATATAAGCAAATTATCTACAAAGAAAACAAAAATGTTCGACATTTTATTTATTTAGTTTTTTTTTTTTTTGAAATGAGTCAATAAGTTTTACAAAATAAAAAAAAACCGGTTTCACTGTAAATTTAGTTTTAAAATATGAAAATAGATTTCAATCAATGTTGAAATTTAAATTCATATCATTTGTATTCAATAAAGAATTTTTTTTGTTTTATGAATGATAAGATTTTTTTGAGAAAACTTTATGTCATAGATTCGCCGAAAAAAAAATATTATGAATTAAAACATTACATGCTAAACTAATAATTGAACATATAAAAATATTAGAAGAAAAAAAATTTTTTTCCGATATAATTCAAATGTATCATGGTATCATTTAATTAATTTATCTACAAAATAATATTGAGATTTGTTTTTTTCCATTAAATTAATTATAAATATGTATAAACATAACATTTAAATATCTAATCAAATAAGATTATTTTTAATCAGATGAATCAGATGAATCAGTTGATTCATAAAATTGAAAAGTTTGAAAATTTTTTCGATTAATAATAAGTTGAGATTGATATTGTTTTTTATGCATTATTTTAAAACGTTGTTGTAATTTACTAAATGTACTTTCATCAAAAAGTCTATTAATTCGTCTAGTACGAAAAATAGGTAAATAAAAATTAAATCGACAGAGTAATGGTAAATGTACAGATATGATTGATGAAAGCCAATCAAATTCAAAAAGATATTGTAAATTTCTCATATGATATGTTGTTACATGAATACTAAGATGTTCAAGATTAGGTACACATAATAAATATTCATTTAATATTCCAACATTTGAAATAGGTCCAATATATTTTTCTTTAATAACTAATTTTTTAAGATTTTTATGACTAACATATTGTTGTGGTAGAACAGTTGATGTTTGTAGAACTTTTTCTTCAAAAAAATAAAAAAATTTTAAATTTGGACATATTGATAAAATACCAATATAAGTAAATAAACCAATATGTCCAACTTTTAAAATACGTAATGATAATAATGTTGTCCAACGTTCAGTTTTTTGAATTGTTGATGTTTGTGGTAGAGAACAAAACTTTAAACATGGAAAATTATTTGAAAATATTGGTTCATGTAAACGATTTATTGAAAAAACTGAAAATGAACCTTTTAAAATAATTGAAAGATATTCTAAATGAGGAAGACTAGCTGTTTCAAGTTTATATGGTCTTGTATATGGTAAACAAATTAATATAAGACGACGAATTGTTGTATAATAATTAAGTATAACATCTGTTTTATATTTAATAATTAAAGTATTAATATAAGGAAGAAAAACTGCATTATCAGTTACTTCATCACGATCACGAATCGAAAGAATAAGACAAAGTTCATTTAGAGATTGAAGAAGTTCATTAAAACGTGAATTAAGATTATAAAATGCTCGAAAAAGATCTCGAGCATCAAGATATTCAAAAGTATCTATCAAAATTTCATTTGGTAATGATTCTAATAGAGATTGATTGTTGTTCATTTTAAATAAATTTATCTAGAAAAAAAAAACAATATTTTAACTTCAAACAATAACTTATTAACCTAAAATATTAGTAAATTTATTTATTAATTCATAATATTTGAGATGATTAGTTTGACTTTTTGTTCTAATATATATAATAAGCTAAAATCTTTGTATTTTAATTTAAAATATTCCTTTGAGTAGTAAAATATGTTATTATTATTATTCAATGTACAGATTATTTTAATCTGAAAGTAAAGAAAATAAAAATAATGTAAAAAAAAAACATCGATTTGAACAGATCTTCTAAATCCTAAAACATTGACTAATGCAGATATTAGATTTTTTAAAGATAAAATACATAGAACACATCGTGATAGGAATGAATAAACCAATAAGTTCGTCTTTGAATCTATATAATATTATTATTCGAAAAATAATTTAGTTTGAATCACAAAATATTTAATAAACTTATCACATATTCAACAAACATATATATTCTCGAGAGTTTTCTCTTTTCTAAAGTCTTACATAAAATTTTTATTTATTTAAAACAAAATATTCAACAATGATCAATTATTGATGTATGCCGATCATTTTTAAGGATAGTTTTTTTTATAATGATGAATCTTAAATAGTTAAAGATTTGATACATACATATGAATATCATTAAGATTATAATCGTTTCAAAATTATTTTCTATTTTCAAATTTGATTATCATACATATAAAATATGAGACAAATAATTTTTATCTACAAGAAAACAAAAATAAAAGTTATTTCACCTTACATCAAAAAGAAAAATTTCTTTCAATAGACAAAAATATTTTTATAGTTTTCTAAAATTTTCATTAAAATTTTTCTGATAAAATAATACCGAAAGCATATTACATATGTATATATAATATAATTAATCAATAATAAGTCGAGCATGATATCGATTATTATGAACATAATAAAAATTTTCTATTATTTTCTTAAGAATATTATTTAAATGAGGTCCAATTTGTATTTTCGTATTATTAAGTTGAAATACATGAAAATAATAATTAAATTGTTTAAGTACTGGTAAATAAATCTGTATTATTGATGATAACCAATCATATGTAATAAATGATTTTTTAATTATTGATATATTATCTTTTCTATGAATACTTAATTTTTCAAGATTAGATAAACATAAAAATAAATTCTTAAATATAGATACATTTTCATATTTCATTAAAGCATTATTTGAAGTTCTTAATATTAATTGTTTTAAATTTATATGTGATTTTATTTCTATCAATGATTCACTATGAATAATAATACCTAAATCAAAATAATATAAATTTGGACATACTGATAAAACTGTTTGAAAAGTTAATAAATCAATATATCCAAGTTTTAATATACATAATGTTAATGATTGTTGCCATCCTTCAATTTGTTGAATTATTTCATAATTAGAAATATCATAAGATTTTAGATTAGGAAAATTATTCAGAAAAATAATTTTATTGTCATAAGAAATTCTATTTGTTGAATTAGTATATTTTATAGATAAATGTTCAAGATTATATAAAATATCACTATTCAATTGTTCTAATAAATTATTAATTGGATGAATTAATATAAGACGATGTATATTTGAAAATAAACGAAGATTTAAATTAATATTATCATTAATAATTAATGTATATAAATAAGAAGAAAATATATGAAAATTATTAATTTCATATTGATTATTTTTTGAAATAATTAATGAAAGAGTATTAATAGATTTAATTAAATTATTTAAACGATTATTTAAATTAAAAAAACTTCGAAAAAGTTCTTCACCATGAAAATATTCAAATATATAAATAATTAATTCATTTGGTAAATGTTCAATATGTAATTGATTCATTTATATAAAATAAATTTATCTAGAAAAAAAAACAAAAAAGAATTTTATTTTTAATTCTTTTTCATTATTGGAAATCTTTAAAAAAGAAAATTCAAATAATAATTTAAGTAAAAATATTGTCTTTTCTATAATAATCAAAGTTTTCAGTAAATAATTCTCTCTACAAAATGATATCTTATCTAGTTCTCTATGACCTTTTTTGGCCGAAATATATCAATCTTATAAAGAACACAAAAATACTATTTCTGTACCAAAAAACAGAAAAAAACAATTATGATGCTATTTGTAAGATTGATATAGCTTGGTCTAAAAAGGTCAGAGAGAACTAAAAGAGATATCATTTTGTAAAATATTAAACATATACATAATTGAATCCTTCCTGGAGGCATTGTATATATGCAGATTTATCAATCAAATTGTATTTTATTAACATAAAGAAGAAAATTGATTGTACCGAATGCTTAAAGTAATTATTTAATAATGATCAATCAATCGTGTTTGTACAATTTAAAATACCATATGAATAAAACAGACAAATTTTACATGATGAATTTGTTTTGTTTATTAATCTATCAATGAAAAAAATTCAATCAATAGATTTTATTTTTGTTATTTTTGAATTTTATCTTTATTTCTTCAAATTTTCCAAATTCAATACAAAAAAAAATGAAAAATAATAACAAGTAAACTATTGAAAGTTAGTTTCAAAACAATACCTTTAAGTATTTCTATGAACATTCAATAATTAATCGAGATTGATATTGATAATTGTGTATATTCAAAAAAAGTTTCTTTTAATTGATTAATAAATTTTTTCTGTATTAAGTTTATTTATATTTTTTGATTGAGAAATATGTAGATAACAATTAAAACGACAAAATTTTTGTAAATGAACAGAAATTATTAATACAAACCAATTCTAATTTATAAAAGAATCTATTATTCTTGAAATATATAATAAACGATGAATATTAAATTGTTTGAGATTAGATACACATGATAAATAACAATTGAATAAATTATTATTCCAAGGCCAAATAACATCACTAACTTTAATTATTAATCTTTTAAGATTATGATGTGTTTGAATATTTAATAAAGATTTCTCGAAAGTAAATATAGATAATTGAAAATAACATAAATTACAACAACCAAATAGAATTGTTTGACAAAATTAATAAATCGAACTTTTAAAACACGAACTGAAAGTAAAGATCATAATCTATTATTTATTGATAATGTTTCTAAATAAGAAAAAATATTAAAAATTTCAGTTATGAATTAATATAAAAAAAAAAAATTTCTAGAATAATGAATGAATTCAAGACAGTAAGCATACATCGAATCCTAGTCAAAAATTTTTTATAACATCTATAATTTTCATGATTAGTTTTGCTCACATTCTTTCAATCTTGCTTAGTTATATCAGACTAACTAAGACGAAAATTCGTATTTCATATAGACACGAACAACATAGTTCCGAATCTCGATCCTATTGAATATAATTTAGGAAGATTATTTCAAACATATATTAATCGGAATCTAAAAAAAAAAGAATGATTTCGTTTATATTTAGTTTAACATTATAATAAAGTGAAATGCAAGTTATTGACATGAAGTTTTTAGTAGTCGATAGTCAAAATTTTAGAAAATTTAATCCTCTATAGAATTAAATTGAAGCAAAATTTTATTTTATTTTTTTCTACCATCAGAAATTTTGTACGATTTTCTAAAAATTTTTTGTGCAAAAAAGAAGTTTTTCTTATGAAAAGATACTGTAGAGTTTTATGTGAGTTATTAGAAAAATATTCGAATACTTTGATCTATAATGCGAAATATAATAATAAATTCGATACCTATATATACTAAATTGAGTTCTTCTAATACATTAGTACAAAGTTGTAAAAGTTCTTTCATTGAAAATCATTCGAATTTAAGATGATAAATATTTGAAAATTGACTACGATTAATATCAACAATTAAAATATAAACATATAAAGGAAATATATAATCATTGATGATAAGATTTTTATTTGATTTCTTCAAATAAAAAAAAAAAAATAAGCTTTAGATTATGAAAAGATTGAATTAATCTATTGAAATGAATATTAAGATTATAAAAGATTTTGAGCATTAAAATATTGAAATAATTCAATTAAAATTTTGATTTAATAATAATTCAAATTGTGTTATATGATTATTCATATTTCAAATAATCAACTAAAAAAAAAATTAGAATAAAATAAATTCGATTAATTCAATAATAACAACAAGAAAAATAATAATAAAATTTTAATATTATTCTTGTATAAATTGAATTTGAGCATGATATTGATCTTTATGTAAACATAGAAAATATTCTTTTAAAGAAGAAAAAATATTTTCTCTATAACATTTAGTTAATTGTTTACTACCATAAATATGTAAAATTAAATTAAATTGATGAAGTAAATATAAACAATGAATAATTGTCGATCTAAACCAATTATAATTTAAATATTCTATTAATTTTTTAAAAAAAATTTTTCGATGTATTATTAATTTTTCAAGATTTGGTACACATATAAGATAATCATTAATAAATTTATCATTCCAAGGAAATGTTTGATCTTCATCTTTAATAATTAAATATTTTAAATTTGAATGTAATTCAATATTTGCTAAAAATTGATTATTTTGAAATTTTTTTAATTCAAATAAATATAAATTTGGACATAAAGAAAGTATAGTTCTATAAATAAATATATTAATTTGTCCAACTTTTAATATATATAATGATAATGATTGTTGCCAATTATATATTGGCATTTCAATTTTCATTTCAGATAGATTACAAAATTTTAAATATAAAAAATGTTTTGAAAATATTCTTTGATATAAATCAATAATTAAAGATTGAATTGTTGATGTTAAAAATTTATGTGTTATTGAAAGATATTCAATATATGGTAATGAATGATGATTAAGTTGTTCGAAAATTTTTTCTTTTGGATTACGTAACATAAGACGACGAAGGTTTTTAAAATATTTAAGATCAATATTAAATCCACGATCAATAATTAATATTTGAATAGAAATAAAAAATTCTTCATAATTTTTTTTTTCATTTGAATCAAATAATGAAACAGTTAATTGTAAATTATCAATTGATTCAAAAAGTTTTTTAAAACGAATATTAATATGATAAAATGATTGAAAAATTTCACGTGCATTTAAATATTTATATATATCAATAATTAATTCATTTGGTAAATCTTGAAATCGAGATATTGATTTTTCCATATTTTTACAAAAAAATTAATCTAGAATTAAAATTATATTTTTATCATTAAATATATTCTATAAAATCTAATTCAATAAATAGAAACTGAAATCATAAATTTTTATGATGGTAATCATATGATATCATGTCTAAGTAATAATATTGTTCCTCACATGCTACTAAAGTCATGTGTTCGAATCTTGACAATAGTAGACATGAAGCAACATGGGACAAGTCATGAACAAGTGTTTTGCTTCGAATTATCTCTACGATAGCACGTTGACTACATTGTGACATAAACCGATTTTCTTAGCTAGGATGCAGTCACTCAATGTGTACGGTGAGTCACACTCTATATCTCAAGACAGCTTACGAGACTAGATATTCTTCTAATTATATAGACTTTATACGGATATCAGATCTTTTCATGATGATAGAATTAAGTTAATAAGCAAACAAATATAAAATATTTAAAAAACGAAATAAATTTATTATTATACAAACAAAAAAAAAAGTCCGATTATTATTTTGATTCATTCAGTAAAAAAAACTCGATAACCATTATCTTTTTCATCACATTGTAAATATTGAAAACATTCATTCATTTGTTGAATAATTTCTACATTAATCATATGATTATTTGGTGCTTCTAATATATTACATTCAAAATGATTTAATTGTTCTAATCGATTTAAAATACTTTCAATAAGATTTATAAATGGTACACGACATAAAAATTGTAAAAATAAATATTTTACATTTGGTATAAAAAGTAAAAGAATATGAATTGTATCAAATGATAATTTATGATAAGGATCATCAAGAAAAAATTTTTCTAATAAATGATTATAAGATGATGATGAAGGTGGAAGAATATGACGATTTTGACCATAAAATATAATATGAAAAGATACAAGATTTGGACATGCTTGAAGAACTAAAGGTATAATATTTGAATCCGTACAAGTTATATATAAAGAATGAAGAGAAAATGATTGAAATTTTGAAAAATTTTCAAATATATCAAAACGACTTAAATGTGCATAATGAAGAGAATGAAAATTATTTGAAAATATTTCTTGTATTAATTCTAATGGTAATGATATATGAAATGGAGTTGATATTGTAAGATAAGTTAAATTAGGCATTATATCAGATCGAATTTGTTCTAATTGATTTTGACTTGCTCGACATAATTCTAATGAAGTTAAATTAATAAATTGACTTAAATCAATATATTGTGATGTTTCAATTTTTAATCGAAGAATTTGTTGTGGACATATTTCAATTGATAATAAATTATTATTATTAATAATTAAAGAAAAACTTTTCATTGTTCGTACAAGATTATTAAATCGTTGATTTATTCCCCAAAAACTATGATATAAATTTGAAATATCAAAATACGTAAAAACATCAATTAATAATTCATTTGGTAAAGATTCTAATCGAGTTGACATATCTATAAAATAAAAAAAGATTATTTTATCTATTTGAAAGAATTATTTCAAATGAAAGAGATGCATTAATAATAATATAAACAACTATGAATTTACAATGAAAAAGTAAAATTTAAATTTAAAAAAAAATCGATCTTTCACATGATCTCAAAGATCATAGCTTTCGATAGACATGAAATGAACATCATCTTTCTGTGTGAGTAATTCTATTCGTATAGTAGTTTATTTTTCGAACGTTTGAAAGCACTATATTAAATACAAATAATACGTCTCAACGTTAAAGATTAATAGCGCATTGTTAATAGAGCGCAGCGGTTCCCAAAAAATCGGAACCGAGAACCGAATTTTCAAGATTTTGGTACCCGGAACCGAACCGGAACCGTTAAAAGAAACCAGTTTGGAACCGGAACCGGAACCGTTGGAACCGTGAAGCTTTTACTGATAACTATATTCGTCTATGCTTATTCAACTTTAGTTATTTCGACCCTCGTAAATTTTCCATTCACTTACTGCTTTGAGTTTTGATGTTATCATAATGCTAGATGATAAGTTTTTTCAGGCATGGGTACTACAGAAAAAGTAAACACAGCATTTTGATAAACAAATCTAATATTGCTATAAAGTTAGTAAGAAAATTTGCAATGGAGCTACTCCAATTGATCGGAAAAGGAAGATTACCGATTATGATCAACAATCCACTTTGTTCCGTTACATAATCAAGAATAGTTTAGAACTTCAGCAGCAAGAAAAGAGTTGGAAAAGACGAAATATTTGATATTGTTATTTGTGATGACGATTATGAAATAAAGAAAACAAGTTTTAGTATAACTCATTAAACCGATGAGCATTTAATGCAAACATACTGTATTACAGCGATTTTCGTATGTTCGCTCCTTTTGCTTGTTTTTGAAAAAAAAAATTATTTTCAAGAATATTATATGAACAATTTGGGACAGTAAGGAATGTACATTTGTTGCGAAAAAATCAATTATTTCATGTGCCATTGATAAAAAATTTTTCAAAACGGTTCCAAAGAATTTTTAGGAACCGAAAATAGAACCGTTTTTTTTTCATTATTGGGAACCGGAATCGGAATCGGAACCGCGGTTCCGGTTCCGGGTATCGGGTAGAACCGCTGGGCTCTAATTGTTAACTAAGAAGTGACAAAAATGATATTCTTCTTACTTGATGAATAAATTATTCAATCATACAAAAAAATATCGATTATAAAATTTATCGTATTGTAAAAGACAAATCTAGAAACAAAAAAAAAGAGATTATTCGTTTGTTAGAAAAGAAAAAACAAAACATCAAATAAGATGCTTTCAAAGTTTATGATTTCAATGAAAAATTATTGTATCCGCTCGAATGACAATAAAAATTAATGGAATATAAAATCAGTTTTTCGATGATTTCGAGTTGTTAAAACATCGAAAATGATGAAAAGTGGACTCGAAACTAATAGAAAAATTCAGAGATTTTCCAGCTCAGCTTACTACTTTCACGTTACATTAATTTTCTACTTTTATGATTGTCGTAATCAACTTATATGCATTTGATTAGGATGATACACATCTTTGTCAACAAATAATTAATAATGTTTACAATATAAAAATTATGTTTGAAATAAATGTTTCTATTGATATAGAATTTTGAATCGATTATAATTTAATTTATATTGAAGATATATCATGAAACAATATTTTCATGTAAAATTATAGGTCTTATTACTGTTCAATATAGAACATATTAGACAAACTATAATTTTAAATTATTTTTCGGACTAAACAAAAATGAACTGTTCATTTGTGATTTCTATCGTTGAAAATATACAACAAAGAAATTGATTCAAATAGTACGAAAGAAGACTCTAAATTTCTTTTTTGAAGAACAACGATAAAAAGAAAAGAATAGAAACTTAGGTTTCGAATATTCATGTTAACACATGTCTGTACTAAAATTAAAGATATATAGTTGTGTAAGTTCGATCATGATCTGTAGTTTTCAGTATTCGATAAAGAAGAACTCTAGATATTTTCTCATTCAATTTACTGCTGTCAAGAAACAAAAAAAAAAAAAAACAAGTAATAATTCTGTTTTTATATTGTATTTTATTTTATTTTTTTGATAATAAAACAAAAATAAATATTTTTATTAATTAGTAAAAATTCTTATAAATAAATCATTTTCTGTATATATTTCGTATTTAATACGATTAAAACAGGAATGTAAAGAATAAATATTTTCTAAATTAATTATTTTTTGATTTTCAAAAATTAAATCACAATTAAAATACGAAAGATTTGGTAAACGACATAAAAATATATATGCTAATTCTTTAAAATTCCACTGAAAATGTATCATATATGTATCAAAATAAGATGAATAAAGATCTAAAATTTTAATTGTTGGAATATAAGCAAGAAATGAATCTAATTTTTCTAATGTCCAATATCCATATAAATGTAATTTTAAACATTTTAAATTTGTATGTTGTTGAATAATATGATCATCAAGTGTTAAATATGTTGATGGCCAATTAAGAAATAAATGAAATGAGATTAATTTCATTGAGACATATAGTACACGTTCAATAACTAAACGTGGATTATCTGACCATATACCTAATGAACGTATTGTTGGTGAACCAGTCCATGATTTATATTCATTAACATTATTTAATGAACATTTTTTTAATAATGGAAATGCATTTGAAAAAATATATTGATGAAGTTTACTTAATTCTGTTTTAGCTGATGCATAACCAACACGAAGATATTCTAAACGTGGAAATATTTCAGGTAATATCATTTGTATATGTTTTGATGTAGGAGTATCAAGAATTAATGAACGAATATATGAAAATCTTATAAATTCATATTCAGGTAATTTTTTATCATTTGAAAGTCGAAGTCTTGCAATAAATTTTTTTCTATTAATGAAATCAAATAATATTTTTTGATTAATACTATTTTTATTTATATCATCGGGATAAAGAATATGTAAATGAATATTTGATGAAAATAAAATAGAATTTACACGATTATTTAAATTATAAAAAGCACGTATTAAATCATTTAATTGTATATAATCAAATATTTCAAGTAAAACTTCATTTGGAAGATATTCTAATTTATATGATATTTGTGGAATGTAATCACTCATAAGGAAAATCAACCTAAAAAAAATAGATTAAAAAAAAAAAGGGTATATTTATTTCTTTTTAATATGACGGATAAGACAAGTGACAAGTTGAATATGACTCATTGAAATAAATGTATTGCTCAATTAAAATTTACCATTGAAAATATTTAATAGATTTTGTTTTGTTTTTTATTTCGTTTTAAAGAGATTTTTGTCAATAAAAATTGTTTTTAGAATTAATTTAAGTCATATATAAAGAAGTTATCAATAGATGTCATGATCCTACAGATTTACTATTTGTTTGTTAGAATTTTCGAAGGATTAGCAATTCGAAACTTTTTGAAATCGAATTTTTTTTCAAGTTATTAAAAAAAGACTGACACAGTCTTCATATTTATATTTTTCAATTCGTCATCGCAATTTTAAAACCCAATCATTATCATATGGTTCTCAGGATAAAATATTAATTTTTATCATATTTGCTTTTACAATTAGTAAAGCATAGGATTGACCAACCGATCTGGAACATGTTTTTTCTTGTTTCAATAATATTCTTGTGAATAAGAATCGTAAATTGCGACCTCATTATAATATTCCGAGAGAATTTCCTATGAATGGGTTATTATAAAAAAAACGAAGCACATATTGTTGATATGCAAACTCGATTAAATCTCATTACAAGATGTGTTGCAGTACAATTTATTCGTCTTGAAGCTATCAACCATCAAAGTTATTGCTCAAAGGCATAATTAGTACTGTTGTCAACTCCATATGAATTAAAACATGGTGAAATTTCTTCATACTGTATACTTTTACTTGATGAATAGAAGACTAATAGTTAAAGTCAATATGATCAGATACAGTTTTTCCTACAACTTTCAAATTGGTTAAAATATCAAATTTAAGGAAAAAATATATTTGTATATTGTACAAAGTAGAAAGATGAATTTAATACACATAGCATCATATACACTATAAATTAATTATTAGGAAGTATACTGAGTTTTGTACTAACTGAAAATCAATAGATATTGTATCGAAGATTCATGAAAATACGAGAGAAAATAATGCTGTTTTCTTGCTCTCTTTCTCCATAGAATACTAACTTTAGAAAATGCTGCGAGAATTCACGGATACTCTCGGGTATTGAGTACTCTATCAGTAGTACTCATGCTAAAATCTGACAAAGGAACATATTCAACTGTTAAACATTGTTCGATTCTTAACATCTCATTTCCACATAGGTATAGAAAAACGGGACTTCTTTACTTTTTTGCTAAATTTTTTTGTTTACTCCAAGAAGATAAGAATTGAATTATCGAATATAGAATTTTCATTTGATACTATAAGATTGGTTCACATTCAGTCAAAAAAATCAGGGTATGGATGTGGGTGTATCTTCGTTTTATCAAGAATAAAGACTTGAGTCGCAATCTTTTGATTCATAAAATTAAATATCGAAAAAGTTCAACTTCTATTCAAAACTTTTGTAGTCAATTATTTTCTTTTCGAGTAAATATCAAGATTTCCTAATTTCTTAACTTATCATCAAAAGAAAACGATTTTTCAAAAACACTAATAGCTAATATTTTAAGATTTTTTGGCTTATATTCAAGATTTACTGTTTTTATTGTAATTATGTTTTCATTATATGGGATCACATGGTTATCGAGTAAAGATATAACCCTTGAAGAGTAAAAAATAGCAATTTACTGCTCGTATTGAAAAACGATTCTAATCGAAATCAAATGTTAGTCAAAATATGATTAAGAAAGATTCCATTAGAAGCTATCTAAGTTATTGAAAAATTTCAACAAGCATTAAATGGTTTCCTTTAGAAAAAGAAATGTAAGATCAAGAATGTCAATTTGAGATTCCTAAAGTTGCTAAACTGCTTTTTCTAGGATTTAAGGCAACAAGCCTTTTTTGCTTGATCCAATGAAGAACTTCTCGATAAGACATTTCGAAATCTGTTATTTTATTTTTAATTAATTGATTCAATCGATTTCTTGTTCTTCTTCATGAATCTTATTCTCGTTAGTATATTTAACTTATAATTTTAACGAAAAACAATAAGTCACGAATTGAATTGATTAGTTCTACTGTAGTAATATTCATATCAAATACTGATATACGTTTTTCATGTAATTCACTTTGATCTGATAGATTTACATCAATAAGTAATGAAATATTGATTAATTCTAACATTGAATATTCGAATGACTTATTATGAGAAAATGTTGATTGTATTTTAATTATATGAATGATTCCTATGATTTATCATCATCATTTATATAACAAATATCAAAAGATATTCACATAAAAAATTCTATAAGTATTCATTTCTTATGTTTTCTAAGTGTCAATCTTTCATAATATTTAAACGTTCAAATATTTTAATTAGTTATTAAAATTTTCTGAAGAAATTTCTTTTTAATGAATTTATGAATTTAAATTTTATCGAGATTTTGTTAGTAATTATACAATTGAATATTTAAACAAAATAATAAAAATTTTTTTTTTTTGATCATAGCATACTAATCGATCAATCATGAAGATTATTAAACACTATTATTAAAAACTAGGAAGTTTTATGATTTTCTTATTTAAATGAATATCTACAAATAATTCGAATAGAAATTCTCATTTTATCTTCATAAGAATAAATATATGAATATATGTTTGAACTATTGAAATCATACAAAGTTAATTGGAGAGCGTGAATGAAGAAAACATTAAACTCGCACCCAAAACGTTCTAAACATAATAGTTCTCGTGTGACAGTGTTGTACCTTTTCAATCAATCTGTAGAATATTTTAATTTGAAAAAGTCCGATTTACATCAAAACTAATATGATTCTAGGAATCAGCATAAAAAACTAAGTTGGTCTATGTGTCATTTAAAGAATTTCTCGAGCATTCTTTCTTCAAAACATTTATCTCTGGAACCCGACAAAAGATGAACTCAATGAACACTCTACTGATATTTTCTATATATCAGCCATTTTGCCGTATAATAACTTTAAACAACCTTCAAAGTTTTTCTACAATATATCAATAGTGTGAAATATTGATTTCCTAGTAATTGTATGTTTCATATATAAGTACGAAACAACAAGAACAAGAGTGAATACTGATGATGAGCAGAAGATTATCTGAAATGTATATATCATTACTTTTCCCTTTTGTCTTCTTTATTTATCCAAATGGTAAATAGATGCAATTTATTTTTTGTCTAGTTCGTGAGAGAGATCACAGGTCAACTTTTTGAAGAAAGCAAAAAGGTTCTAGAAATTTTTTGAATCACACACAGATCGATTCAAAACTTCATTTTGATTCGGAATATTATTTTAGTTTTGAATCATATTGAATCTTTTTTTTCTATCAAAATCTTCAAAATATTGATTAAAAAGACGCAAAACCGTACGTCGAGAATAGTATGTTTACGATTTTTCTAAGTGTTCAAAATTTTTTTACTTTAGAAAGTATACAGTTTTATAGGGTTTAAAAAGAGTTTTCAAATGACCAATACTAGAATATAGATTATTTCGATTTCTAAATTAAAATATTTGTTGAAAGATAATTGTGGATGAAAAATACAGCAAATATACAAATAGTGTTTACCAGCATATCTGACTTATATATCATTGAATTGAAAAAAAAACAATCGATTATTTATATATACGATTCAAGCTTGATTGAGAAGCTATCAAATTTATAACTTCAATACTATTTTATCTAGTCTACTGATAATAAAATGGAATGCACAATGATAAAACTAAATATTACAAAAATAAATACTAGCATTTGTTGTATAACATGCAACACTTTACACTCTGAGAAACACTACACATATACATATCTACAAAAATGGATACCAACAGAGTATTAATTCTAATATAGGCACTCGCTATGAGTAAGGGGAAGAGTCAATGACAATATCACTCTCAATCTAATTTAGAAAATTGAAGTTGACATGTATGTTTCAGGAACGTAGCGCTGGAACTTTTTTCAACGTTTTGTTATTGATATAACCTCAATACTTCTGATAGATAAAAGCCAGTCAGAACAGTTGTATTTGCCTTCTTTATCTGGATGATTGACGGTTCTGTTTACACAAAACTTTAGTCAATCATCGACTTTTATATACTATTGGGCACAGTAGATATTAACAATTACGAGATAAATAAATAAATAGCTTGAAAGGAACGACAGTATCGTCGGAAAAAGATAGTCCACTGGAAGCAACATATGTATTTAATCATTATTCGCCAAGTATTGTTTGACAGCTTTCTTTGATCTTCAACGACAATAGATCATGCTACTATTATTACTTTTCTGCTTCATTCCTCTTGTTTTTTGTCAAACAGAAGTAAAAACATATTACATTCGTAAAGATTATTTTCATGGTTTCAAACCGGGTGAATTTACGGTTTACAGTTCAACGGGCGAAACTACTTATTATAGAATCGAATCGCACTATGGAATTCTACACTCGCTCAAACTCGTTTCTTATCCGTCGAAAGTCGTTGTGGGTAAACTGAAGGCAAAACTGAATCTGCTAATGTATGAAGCCGAACTTGACATTTTCGACACTCGATCTCAGCGATGGATTAAAGGAACGATCGATCGAAATTTTCAATTATTCGACAGCAAATTTACGATTCAATGGAATAGTCGACGTTTGTTCATGGTGTCTGATGCATTCTCGCTAACAACACGTTTTTATGACGAACAGAAACCGAATGCTATCCTAGCTAAATTCACGAAGCGATTCGAATCCTATTTCTTTGTCAACAAGTTTGACATGGAAATATTTGTTGATGATTTACCGGATGCTATCTTTTTGTTAGGGCTCGCCGTCAAAGATCGCAACCGCCGAACACAACGAAGAGGCTAACATTTGAAATCATATTCAGTTCTAATAGTTGTATTGTTTTTGAATATTTTCTCATCATTAATAATTGCTTTGTGTATTTCATTTTATTCCTTTACTCAATGGCAATCCCTATTCAAAATAT